CAGCTCTAAAGCTCCAGTTCGGACTTATAAATCACGAAAATCGATACCTAACTGCAGAGGCATTTGGTTTCAAGATCAATGCATCTGGAAATAGTATGAAGAAGAAACAGATCTGGACTCTGGAGCAGGACCCGGATAGCCAGGTGGTTTTCTTGCGCAGTCATCTCGGACGTTACCTGTCGTCCGATAAAGATGGCAAGGTAAGATGCGAGGAGGAAGTCCCGAACACAGACTGCCGTTTCTTGATTGTGATGCAGTCCGATGGACGCTGGGCCTTGCAGTCAGAGCCATACTTACGTTATTTTGGAGGCTCTGAAGAATATCTTTCCTGTTTCGCCCAGACTATTGGAGAGTCCGAGCTGTGGGCTTTGCACCTGGCTCTTCATCCACAGGCTAACCTGCTAAGTGTTGCTCGCAAGCGCTATGCTCACCTGTCCACCCAAGAAGATGAGATCTCCATGGACAGCAACATCCCCTGGGGTGTGGACTCGCTGATCACCTTGGTTTACCTGGAAGGCAAGTACAGTCTAAAAACCTGTGACAACCGCTTTCTCAGGAATGATGGCAAGCTGGTGATGGAGCACGGCCCTAACACTAGCTTCACCCTGGAGCTGAAGTCTGGCAAGCTGGCCTTTAAAGACTGTGAAGGCAAGTACCTTTCGCCGAATGGCCCCACGGGCACCCTGAAGTCGGGCCGCTGTACGAGACCAGGGAAAGATGAGCTGTTTGATCTGGAGGAGAGCCACCCACAAGTCGTTTTCCAGGCAGCCAACAAAAGATATGTGTCAATCCGTCAAGGTAAGCGGTGATTGTGTGTTTGATGGCATGTGTTGGCTTGGCATAGTCCTAGTGCAGGGATCACCAAACTTGTTCCTGGAGGTCCGGTGTCCTGCAGATTTTAGCTCCAACCCTAATCAAACACACCTGAACAAGCTGATCAAGGTCTTACTAGGTGTACTTGAAACACCCAGGCAGGTGTGTAAAGGCAAGTTGGAGCTCAACCCTGCAGGGCACCGGATCTCCAGGAACAAAATTGGTCACCCCTGTTCTAGTAGGTCACAGAGGGATTTTATGATGTGCGACTTTAAAGTTTATATTGAAAGTTGTTTGTGAAAGCCATAGCCGTTTCTGTCAGGTGCGGTTTATGTACCTGAGAAAAACATGTAAAGGTCATTTTCGACGGGATGTGGTAGTTGCAGAGGTTGATTTTCAATGGGAGAAATGCAGAAAGCAGCAAAATGCAAGTGGTTTCATTGATTTCAGGGAAGAAATGTGAGTTAACGTCCACAGGAAAAAGTGGATCCATGGCCAAACCAAATGAGAAGCTCTGGCATAGTCATTACCATTGGTATAAATGTAAAATGCACTAAAAACTAAATTTGCAATGTTGACAAGTTTGATATTGTTGTCAAAATAACCCGTACCCTGCAAAAATGACTAAACAAGCTGTATTATGCAGGTGGTCAGTAGCTGGTCATGCTACTTTATAAAGAAACACTGCTGTAAATGCTCACAAACCGATTGTTGCACACACAAACACAGTTAAATCATCTTTTTAAAAATTATGGATTTTCTGTCAACCCCATAAACAGTTCAAATGCATAAGAAATATTACGTTTTTTAAAACAGGGTTGTGCAATGCCCACTAAAACAAGATTCATGTTTCTGTAGATCCACTTACCTGTTCAAATCCTATTCAAACACGTGTTTTTAATTAAAAGTGCTCCTGAATGTATTCTTCTAGTCTAGACGCTGGTAGGTTTGCAGGAATAGGATTGTATCTCCAAGTCAAAACACTCTGTAAATAAATCTGATAAAAGGATCTCTGCTGATGCACTAAGACTATGTATGAGACACTGTTTTCTTAAGTACACCGAATACATTCAAACACTTTTGCCATGTCAAATGACCATTTACATGAAAGATTCAAAGGACATTAACTTAAATGCTTGCTGGAAAACTTAACTGGAAAGTCAGTTGTTTTTCTGTCTGTTTCTTCCATTTTTGGAGCTAGCATTAACAACATCAGCTATATATCGCAAATCGGTTGGTTAAATCGTCAGACCATTAATCTAGCTGCATGACAGTAGATATATTTACTTGTTTACATTTAAAATGAAATGAAAATGACCAACTTGTATACATTTTAAGGAAAGCACTTCTCTCTTAAAAGTTTGTCTGTATGTACCAGAGCCCAGCTAGTGCTGGGTAGGTTAACCTCACTCCTCTGACCTCTAAAGGTGCTCTAGCGACAGATGCTAGAGGCCAAGGTGTCTAGCCTTCTTGGTAGAACAACCGACTTCCATGAGGAAAGTCGCCAGTTCGATCCCAGATTGGAGGCGTTGGGTGGTGTAGGACCGGTGGGGTCTGGGGACCCAGATAAAAGGTGAGGTTTAGGGGGCCGAGTGTAACAGAGGCCAGCCAGTAAAGTGCTGTGCAGGTAAACCTCATTTATCAGACCTCTAAAGTTGCTTTAGCAACAGACAGTAGAGGCCATAGTCTTTAGCCTCCTTGTTAGAGCAACCTACTCCCATGCCGTTTCAATTCCAACTCAGAGTGGGTTGGGTGGCAACCACTGATATTGACCCTGGGCAGAGCTTGAACAATGTATCTTAACTAAGTGAAATTGGAAATGCAGCAGCTGGCATATCAACAACTCTCATATCAACAAGTCCAAATGGTTAACTGTCATTGCCTTGACACTTGTATAATGAAACTTTCAAACATCCCTGCTGAAAAATCCAGCTTAAACCAGCCTAGGCT